GTATTACATGATTCTATATGAATGTATTTTTAAATTCTTGCCTGTGTTAACAAGTGTCAAGGTTGATTGATAAAGGTCCTACCATAATGTTATGCTCCTTTGTCAATTGAATCTTGAGGTTGTTTTTTAATATAATTATTGGTTGTTATGAATTGGTGTATTACTGTATATATTAGTGCATAATGTGCATCACACTTATGTGTAATGTTGTCATTAAGTGCTTCATATGTATGCACTGCACACTATACATCCTGGGATTGTAGCTCAACTGGTCAGAGCCCCACCTTGTTTTGGTGGAAGATGCGGGTTCGATCCCCGTCAGTCCCAGCTTTTGGAATGAACTAGTTGGCAACTTCTTAAACTATGATATCATTTTCTTGTTTTTATTTGATAATTGAGTTTCCTATTTGATTGTGTAGTTTGTATTTAAACGCTGCAATGGGTAAAGAGAAGTTTCACATCAATATTGTTGTTATTGGTCATGTTGACTCTGGGAAATCTACAACAACTGGACATTTGATCTATAAGCTTGGAGGTATTGACAAGCGTGTGATAGAACGCTTTGAAAAGGAAGCTGCTGAAATGAACAAGCGGTCTTTCAAGTATGCCTGGGTGCTTGACAAACTTAAGGCTGAGCGTGAACGTGGTATCACCATTGACATTGCCTTGTGGAAGTTTGAAACAACTAAGTACTACTGCACTGTCATTGATGCTCCTGGTCATCGTGACTTCATCAAGAACATGATTACTGGAACATCTCAAGCTGATTGTGCTGTCTTGATCATTGACTCAACTACTGGTGGTTTTGAAGCTGGAATCTCTAAAGATGGACAAACTCGTGAGCATGCATTACTTGCATTCACACTAGGAGTGAAGCAGATGATCTGCTGCTGTAACAAGGTATTTTGTTTGCCTACTTGCATTTATTGTTATCCAGCTAGTTCAAAATTTCTCATATATAGACGTGCTTATGTTTACATATACACTGCTTGTTTGCTCATAGATGGATGCCACCACACCAAAGTACTCAAAGGCTAGGTATGACGAAATTGTGAAGGAGGTGTCTTCCTATTTGAAGAAAGTTGGCTACAATCCTGACAAGATCCCCTTTGTCCCAATTTCTGGATTTGAGGGTGACAATATGATTGAAAGATCTACTAACCTTGATTGGTACAAGGGCCCAACTCTCCTTGAGGCTCTGGACCAGGTTAATGAGCCAAAACGTCCCTCTGACAAGCCTCTGCGTCTTCCCCTGCAAGATGTTTACAAAATTGGTGGTATTGGAACTGTGCCTGTTGGTCGTGTTGAGACTGGTGTCATAAAACCTGGCTTGGTTGTAACTTTTGGTCCATCTGGTCTTACAACTGAAGTTAAGTCTGTGGAAATGCATCATGAGGCTCTTCAAGAGGCCCTCCCTGGTGACAATGTTGGCTTTAACGTTAAGAATGTTGCTGTTAAGGATCTGAAGCGTGGCTATGTTGCCTCTAACTCAAAGGATGACCCTGCCAAAGAAGCTGCTAACTTCACGTCACAAGTTATCATCATGAATCACCCAGGCCAGATTGGTAATGGATATGCTCCTGTCCTCGACTGTCACACATCTCACATTGCAGTCAAGTTTGCAGAGATTCAGACCAAGATTGATAGGCGTTCTGGAAAGGAGCTCGAGAAGGAGCCCAAGTTTTTGAAGAATGGTGATGCAGGATATGTGAAGATGATTCCTACCAAGCCCATGGTGGTAGAGACCTTTTCAGAGTATCCTCCACTTGGTCGTTTTGCTGTTCGTGACATGAGGCAGACTGTTGCTGTTGGTGTGATCAAAGCTGTGGAGAAGAAGGAGCCCTCTGGAGCCAAGGTGACCAAGGCGGCTGCAAAGAAGAAGTGAATTGAAAGTGATTGTGCTTCTGTAGCTGCTGGTAAATTCAGTAGTGTCCTTTGTTTTCTTTTTATTAAGTCAGTAGGTGCAGTGTCGAGTGTGGATGGAGAACTGGGTTCTTGACAGGCGGTGGCATTGATTTTTAATGCTTTTTTAAATGTTTTGTCCGAACCTGGGTTTTTTT